TCCAGCTGTTAGTATCATAGTTGCTAGGCAACCTGGGCAGCGCAACGGAGGCTAGACCGTCCCATTTCACAAGCCTCGCACTTCCGGCCTTAGCGGTCTTTAAGTAAGCAGCCCTTGAGGATCGTTGAGGCTGCGTACTTTAAGGCTGCAGACCCTGAATTGGGATACAGCCTAAGAAACCAAGGACTAAACTGCAAACTAGAAAACAACTAGATGCGTTAAACTACACATGTGGATACTAAAATATGCATTAGAACTTAAACCCTGGGCCTCATGGCCCAGTACCGTGACAAAATGGGAGAAAAAAACAGCCCTAATCTAAGGACATCAGTAATAGCTGTGCAGTTTATTATTAATTTTATGCAATAGGATGTTTCCTACTTTACCGTTGCTGTAAGACAGGCATCTTCTGGAGGGGAAAACAGGGACTCGATACTTTTTATTCAGTCTGCCACTTTTTCCAGAAAAGTAGGATAAATCTGGAGTTCTTTGTGAAGTCTGCTGTTTGGTTTCCATAGTTACAGGCAGTCTTTGTGAACCCTGACCCTGGTGTCTCTTCAGACGCCTCTAACAGTAAAACGTGGTTGATGTACTTGTGTGAATCGTCTAATATTTTTCTATAACCTTTAAGATTTTTGCTGATGTCAGTTAACAAGGGTACGAGTTACCTTCTGTGTTTTTAGTAAAGCGGGTTTCCTTTAGAAAAGGCTGACTTTACTTTGGTGTCTTGCAGGTGAAGAAGTTGACGAGGTACCTGGATCCTAACGCTCATGGGAAAATCAACTTCAAAGACTTTTGCCACGGAGTGTTTGCTATCAAAGGTGAGACATGGACTTTGCTTGTCCTGCTCTCTGTCACGAGAAGATGTATGAGCTTTGTAACTTTGTAACCTTGTCACATTTAGCTCGGTAAACTGTTTTCTACTATTTAGTTTTCTTGCTAAGCTAAGACAAACATCTGCTGACTTCACACTTGTGTTATATACAGACATCATAGTGTTGTCAGCACTTTCATGTCAGAATGGAAACAATCTGCTCCATACTCTTCTTCTAATGCTACATGGCCCATTTTACCTTGAAAATGACAAAAAGAGTTTGGATATTATAAAATGAAACATGTAAACATGTTGATGATACCACTTTATTCACGTAGCTCAAACTTACTGGTTTTATTACAGAGGAAACAGTCTGCTTATGTTATTTTACCTCTTATTATTTTCTTTCCTCCCCACACTTGTCCTCCTAGGTTGTGAAGAAATAATGAAGATGACTGTGGGTCCTCGCAGCCATGCCTCCAGCCAGCCTTCTGTCACAGACAATGGCTATATATACCAGGTGATTGGATCTTCAATGGTGCACATAATTCTGTGGCATGATGTGAAAACACACCCTGAAACGTCTCCATTAATACTGCAAATAATTTTAAAGACACTTTTTTGTTTTTGTAAATATGCCAGATGTCAGAGTGAAAGTGGACGTTGTTTACATGGAGTGAAACAGCAATAATTCAGCAGTGAAGCTAAGATCATCGATAACTGTTTGTTAATTAATTAATTAATTTATTTTATTTTTATTTTTTAATTTACTTATTTATTTATTTAGAACAGCGTTTCTCAAGGTTTAGATTTATATTCATAATAAATGAAAATCACGAGGCACTGATTTCTAACCTAAACACCAGTTTAAGTGTCAAAAATATGATATAGTGACTGACTTTTAAACCTCTACTGCTGGGCTTCCATACAGCTCTGATAATGCTGCTGGTTTCTAGCATGTGTACTACCTTAAATATATCTCAATTATTTTTGTATCATAAATTTACTGTGTGATATGTATGTTGCTGTGCGTGGCTGATTATGTCCCTCATAGAGATTAGCCTAACTGGATCGTTGCTTAGCAACAAGAGGATGAGCGAGACGGAGAGCGAGAGAGAGCGAGAGAGCCGAGGTGTGGTTTTGTCCCAGCTAAAGCTTCGCCGTGCTTTTCACATTACTGCTGGAGCTGCAGTCGTATTTATTTGTGTCTAAGCTCTGAGGACACTGAGCCTTCAGGCACTGGGAATACAGTAGATTTTTGTTTTTAGCTCCACCAGAGCAGATGCCATGCATTCACACGTACACACTCATTAGAGTGATTTGTGACTTTGTATTGGAGATGAGTGAGATGGTGTCCACACTTACTTGGTAAGTTGTACGAATGTGTCAGACGAACTGATTTCTAACTTTTTGAAAGAGAAGATTAGTCCAATAAAGGAAAAGCACACAGACTGGCACAAAGCTTAAAGTTGTGTTTCATATTATGTGGTGTTGCTGTGTGTGGATGAATTGGGATATATTATGTTATTTTGTGTGTATATATATAAATATATATACATATGCTCCCACACCCCGTCATCACAGACAGAAAATGTGTATAATTAATGAGTGAAAGGTGGGTAGCAGCCCCTCAGATGCTGTATTGTGTCTGTCTTGTGTCTTTATAAACATACTTCCACAATCCAGCAGAATCCTAAGTAAGAACAGAGTTGGAGCTTTTACTGGTAATGATGAGAAACTTGACTTTGTGTGTGTGAAAGAGCGCTTGGGTGTGACCTTGTCGTGGTACTACAGTGGGGTTAAGCCAGACAGCAGCATGATTTATTAATAATATGCTATCTGGGGCACGCTAACTCCCACATGATAAATCAGCCACAGACACTACCTCTAATACAACTTCATCATATTCTGTTCAAATCACGAGAGCAGGTCAGAATACCGGCTGTACTGCTGTTTCTCTCTTAAAGCCGTCGCTTTGTGTCGCTGATTTAAACTCCCCTCTTTGCTTTAGTGATTTCTGGGGAAAATGTTTGGCTCACACCTAAAGCTAACCTTAATGCTAATCACAAAGGTCCAAGGTGTGGACAATTAAAGTCATCTTAAATATCTTGAGATTAAACTTAAACATCTCTGAGTTCTCTGAGTTTGTACCTCTCATACAGTTAGTATGTGAAACAACAGTAGATTACAAGCAGAAACATTTTAAAATTTCTATTTAAACTATGGTTTAACCCTTAAAACTCTATTGTTTGATTAAATCTGCTAAAATAAGCACTGGAAGGCAAGACTGATTTCTCTAAATAGCCTTTTAATAAATGTAGGCTGACATTCCTGGATCTTATTCCTGGATTCGTCTAAATGGAGTGGGATTCTTTCTAGTTTGAGGTCATCTTTGTATTAGGTTTCTTTTATTGATAGTATTTAGTTTTCTGTTTGTGTTGTTGCTGTTAATTCCTTTGTAATTTTTAGTTACCGGTGACCCTGAGCTTATTTTGGCTTCTCGTGTCTTATATCTAGTTGTCTTTGCCTTTCGTTACCTTATTGTGTTTGTATTTTGGCCTGTTTTCTCCCTTTAGCTGCTTCCTGCCTTTACTTTGAAAGGTTCAGTTTTCCTGCCTCTCTTATTACCTGATTATTCTCAGCTGTGTTTTGTTCCCCGGCTGTTTTCTTCGCCTCTCTTCACCTTTTGTGTTTTTACACACGGTGGTTCATGACAGTTTCCTTGTAAGCAAGATTATAATCTTGGCATTTTTTATTTGAAATGTTTATTTTTAAGAACTATATGTTAAGATGCTGATGATCCGTTGTTCAGTGTAATCAGTGAATAGGCACTGTATCGGACTTGTATCTCATGCATGATTTTAGCTGTTCTTTGAATAACTGTTTACGTGTGTTTTTAGTAAACATCTGTGTGATGATGTGATTTTGAACTCAAGAGTTTCTGCTTTAAAATTGAAAAAAAAAAGTAAAGTTAACTTATACTTCAATTTGTCCTGTTTTGCTACTGTATGAAGTGATGCCTTGTGTTGAAGTGTCTAATGTGACTGTTACTTCTATTTCTGAAGTCCTGTAAAGTTCAATTTTTAATCCTAATTCACATAATTTTGCTTGTATGTTCAGAATGGTGAGGCAAAGCTTGGTCCTCCAATTATCATGTGTACACGGTCCTACCAGGAAAGCACGTGTGCTGATGGCGAGTGCGACATGGACAGCAGCACTGAAAATGCCAACAGCTCTGACTCGCTTCACCCGACACAGCAACGCAGGTCAGTCATAACCAGTCTGAGTTGGGACTTTAGGAAGGCTTAGAATTTCTTTTGATTGTGGGTTTGCTCTTTTCCCTTTTATTGTTTTGTTTTGGAATGCAACCCTAGCCGCCTGATTGGCTCAGCGTCTGCGCCCGTCATCTCTAGAGAGGAGCAGTTTGAAGACTACGGTGAAGGGGAGGATGTAGATTTTACTCCCAGCAGCCCTTGCCCTGAAGAAGAAACACGAACAAATGGTTTCTCAGATCTTGGATCCTCGCTTCCCTCCAGGTTGGTGTCTGATGAGAAGGAAGCGCTCCTTTAATCGTATGCACACGCAGAATTACATACAAACATATCTTAAGACACAGTTTTCATGCAGAAAAGGACAAATCAGACTTTTTGGCTGTTTGCTTGTCATAAAGGGAAAAGCACAGGGCTGTTAACAATGGGCCTGCTTGATTTGAATGCAGTGCATAGTTTTAGACAGTGCTGCAAGTTTTCTGAACCATGGCTTGAAAAAGTAGAGACGAGAAGACATTTCATTGACGCATGCTGATATGCTCAGCAGACATTGCAAATATCTATAGCTAACAGCGAGAAGCTGACTTTCACTTTTTCAGACATGCTTATTTATATTTGATTATATATGTGGACATTAATCAATTCATTCTTTATAATTCCAGTGCTGGCCACACCCCTCAAAAGATGCGGCAGCTGTATAACAGTGAGCTGCTGGACATCTACTGTTCGCAGTGCTGCAAGAAAGTGAATCTACTCAATGACTTGGAGGCTCGACTGAGAAACCTCAAGGCCAACAGGTGGAGCACACATTCACTGATGTTCATTTCTGGGAGTGACCTGGAACGGTCTTCATCCTAAGACTGAATGAATTTCAGATTTTTAAAAAAGAACAAATGGTGTGTGGGCATCATTGGGGTATCACACTGCTCAGCCTTGAACCCCGGGTCCAAGAGGACCAACGTGGCTACCATGCTAGCTGTGGAACACCTGATTACCCTTTCAAGACAGGGAAGCACTTCCAAGTATGAGGCCTTCATTTTCAGTGAGAAAACGGTGGATTCGACCCTCTGGGGTTAGATAGAGATGTTTCAAGTACGCTGCAGTCTTGTTCGTAAGACTGATGGTGTAGCATCAGTACTAATGCAGGCAGGGAGGAGAGAGCTTAGCCTAAAAGATCAAGCTTTAATTACCAGTGAGTATAGCACATTCGTACAGTTATCTATTTTTTTTTGAGCTATTGGTAATGGTAATGACTCTTGCTGCCTCAGCATCGCCCTAACGTAACAAAGCTTGGATTAGCCGTCTTAGCCATCCAGCTAAATCCCCTCTTATTCATTCTTGGCATCAGATGCTGCATCCACATCAAAGGGTGAGCTCGAGTTGTTGCTATAGCAACTGTATCCCAATGTGGCGGGATGACTGGTTGTGAGTTTTTGTGTCTTGTGTGCGATGCTGAAACAAGAACACTGACTGTGGTTGAAACTGTATCGTACGGCAACCACAGAAGAACATTGTTTGAAACCACTGTGTGAATGAAAGCAGAGGTGTCATCGCACTAATTTTACTACCAGCAAAGAGAGTTGTAGCAAAGGCGTTTGGATTATTAAAATGAATAGTTGAAGCCTGTGTTACTGTCGGTATGTGTGACTCGGTTCCTCTCCTGTTTTTGCAGCCCTAACAGGAAGATTTCCAGCACAGCATTTGGACGGTGAGTGACCTGACGATCCTCCAAAGCACCTTTTTAAATTCTTGCTGCTCTAAATCATCTGTGCACTGTAGATATCATAAACTGTTGCTTAGTTTTGGCATCTTTCTCGTTACAATATAAAAAATGCAGCCACTGAAGAACATGGTGGCAAAGCATATACAGGATTTACATGTTTATGCAGTGTAAATATGATGCCTCCTGTTTCTCGGGTGTTTTCTCTCTCCCTGCAGTCAGCTGTTCCAGGCCAATCACAGCGTGTTTGGGTCCAGTCAGGGCAGCAGCACAGAGGATCTGTTCACAGACAGCATCGACTCCTGTGACCTTGACATCACAGAGAAAGTAAACGCATAATAATCTTCACCTGCTGGATGATCCTCTAGCTCATAGCACATCTCCAGAGCAGAACAAGGACTGTCACAAACTAAGAGTCTAACTGGTGAAGCAGCAGCCTCGTTTTAGCTAATGAAAAATAAAAACAATGCTGAAATAAATTGAAGTCTGTGAGGTGGGGAAAAATGGTGTTAGCGTGTAGGAGGATGGATCAATTTAAAACAGCTGATTAATTTCCTGTTAACAACGGGCTGTGTAGAGGCATACTGGGAATGTCTGTATGCAAATGAAGAAGATGCTCTTTAACCTTTAGGCCTTACCTGTGTGATGTGTCACTCAGGTCAGCTACCTGGAGAAAAAGGTGACAGAACTGGAAAGTGACAGTCTGGCCAACAATGACCTCAAGTCTAAGCTCAAGCATGACAACACCCACCTTGTGCACAGGTAAGAATACCTGAGCTGAGTGGGTCCTATGGCTGGGTTTGGTTCCTGTACAAAAAGGCGTGGTGTTTATTTTCACACAAATAACATTAATTGCACCTGTTTGATCATTCTTTACATGTGGTGCAGATATGAGATATATGTGATGTGAATTAGTCCATAGATCTTATATAAACCTGAGCAGCATTTTGGTTCTAGCTAACTAGTCCGTACCAGTCTGAATGACCTCTGTGTTTTTGCTTCCAAGGGTTCATGAGCTAGAGGAGCAGGTGAAGGATGCAGAGACAAAGTCTGCAGAGAGTCTCAAAGAAGAGGTGAAGAAACACCGGGAGGCTTACACCAAGATGGAGAGAGATAGAAACACGGAGATAGAGCTGCTCTGTAACAGGTAAACTAACCAGCAATTTACCTGAAGGGAAGTTTCCCCCATAATCCAACTTCTAAACAGGCTGGTGCTAGATTTGGCTCCGACACAAGATCAACTACACATCTGCTGTTAAGGCAGGTATTCTGTAACCATCAGACACTGATTGGCTGTAGGTCTCATGAAATAAAACTGCTGTTACCCTTGTTGCCCTTGTTACCCTGCCGTTGCCTGCTATTAAGACAGGAAATAAGGAAATGTGCAGCGCAATTTTACAAGCTGCTGTGCTGATCAAAGACGGTTAGCGTTCTGGCACTTTAAAAACACCAAGCCTTACTCATGTCTTTTAACCTCCTAGGACCTGGCGTCCATATATGTGGACATCACATTTTGGGTTGTGTGATGGACCGAGCAGTGAAGGAAACTTAGGCACAGGTTAAAGTTCAAAAAAATGATTTTTTATTTAACCCAAAAAACATAATTGGTTAAATCATGCAAAAAGAATCAAAATCTTGGGCCCATAAAAGAGGTCAAAATAACAAAACTCTACTCAAAGTTGACAACACTACTGATAACTCAAACAAACTGACCTCACTTAATGAGACAAAGAGGAAACTTAAATAGTGGCTGATCAGCCCACAAAAACAGGAGAAGGGGTAAAACACACAAAACCTAACTAAACCAAACATAATGAACTCCAATTCCCCCCCACGGTCCCGAGTTATGGCATGAACCAATTTGTAGTCTTCCTTTAAAGCTGGCTCCGCCCCATTTCCACCTCTTGGCTCCTTAATCAAGGGACTGGAACAGCTGCAACTAAGGTAGCTCAGAAAACAAAAGATTAATCACACATAACAGTGTAAACTAAAATGTGCGCACTTATTTTAGAATACCGTGTTATGTGGATATGCGAATTAAGTCTAAACAAAAACCAGTTATTTATTGTCCTGTAAATTAATTCCTATATTTAAAGAAAGACAAATGTGAATGCAATGTTACTTGTAAGCCTCTACACTAACATGGTGGGTAATACCACTGTGTGGCTGTAAGTGCAGCCATCACAGGTTGTCTAGACAAAAATACTAAATTGTGCTCTACAAGGGCCTGATATCCACTTACAGGGACATTATACTGCCACTTCTATCAACATGTAAAACAAATGGATCTCATTTTTCTCAGAAACACAAATCTGGTAAAAAAAAACAATACAAAACAGGTAATTTGTTGTTTTTATATTCATCAGGTCCCAATCAGCCCAAATAGCAAAGAGAAATTGAAAATGCACGCCATGAAAGAGTTCGGGTCTTAGGAGGTTAAAGTTCACTAGGGTACCTGTGATACCAAACTAAAGCTGTGTTTGTGTTTGTTCACCCTAAGGTTACAGCAGTTAGAAGAAGAGAACACAGAGATGAAGTTGAATGTGTGCAGACTCAAGTCTCAGACTGAAAAAATGGATCAGGTATGCTGAAGTATCTTCCTGTGTCATCATGATGTAATTATTTTATATAACCTTCATGAGTAGTTTCACCCTGACAAGCTTTTTTCTTTTAGTTTGTCTGTACTCATCTTGGTTGCTGCTAGGTTTCCATATCTCAAATGTTGCGTATTTTCCTTCATATATCATAAAAGCACGAGTGTTTCTTTTTCTCAGCCACTGTTTCCTGACTTGTTTCTTTTGCAGGAGAAGCAGAGGGTGACAGACAAACTGGAGGACACTAGTTTGAGGCTGAAAGATGAGATGGACCTGTACAGGAAGATAATGGACAAGCTCTGGCAAAACCGCCACGAGTTTCAGAAGGAAAAAGAGTCCATGCAGGAGGTGAGACACTCCTCCCAGGCAATCATTTCTATGAAAATAATTAAATTTCCCGCTGTAGTTACCAGGTAAGATAAGAAAAGGTTAATGTGGAACATGTTAGAGTTGTGTTTGACCGACTGTTTTGTCTGCAGCTGATTGATGATCTCCGTCGGGAGCTCGAGTATCTGCAGTTGTTTAAACTGGAGATGGAACATCCTGGGAAAGGCAAGGGGCTGTCCGAGTTCAACGCCAAAACCAGGGAGATGGAAATGGAACATGAAGTGAAGCGACTGAAACAGGTCCACACAGAACACACTC